TAACTTTATTTTATTTATCCGTCATATTAAAGAGACCTTTTTGAAGGAAATTAATACTTTTATTCATTAAGGACGCATTAAACTGATCAGACATTTATAATGTTACAAAAGATTTCTATTTTAGATAAATGCTGTTCTTCTGAGCTTTCTGTTCATCTGTGAATCCTGAAAAATAAAACGTATCAGTTTCCACAAAGATATATTGTGCAGCACGACTGTTTTCAACATTGATAATAATCAGAAATGTTTCTCGAGCAGCATATTATACTGATTTCTGAAGATCATGTGACACTGAAGACTGGAGGAATGATGCTGAAAATACAGCTGCACATCACAGAAATACATTACAGTTTAACACATATTCACACAGAAAACAGCTGTTTTGAAAGTCTAAAAATATTTCACATTTTTACTGTATTTTTCAGCTTGGTGAAGCATAAGAGACTTTCAGAAACATTTAAAAACTCTTACCGACCCCAAACACAATGTGCTTTAGAGTATTCAGGTAACCATTACTAGAAAACATTAACCGATAACAGTCCTTTTCGAGCTTTTTCAAAAACTTTAATGAAAACGATACACAAAATCTGCAAACAAATGAGCTCATGATGAATATGTTCAGTGATGCACTCGAGTGACGTCTCTGCTGGAGGCAGTCGTGCCGCACACAGGGCACTTAATCTGCAGTCTCCGAGACCCAGACGCGTGTTTCTGCCTCAAACACGCTCCGCACATGAGATGAGCGCAGGGCAGAGAGTACGACGCCACGCTCGACGAGTAAACCGTCAGAGAACAAGTGCAAAACACACACGCGTGCCCACCTGGAGAACACAGGACAGCTACAGATCAATACAACTAATTCATCATTCTGTTTATACTTTTTCTGTAGTCTTTTGAGATCAGAGTTCAATGGATTATTATATACTGTAACATTCATAACTCAAAAGACCATTTATTTAAACAAAGATGGGGAAAATTTACATATGTCATACATTATCACGTGACCGTCAACCTATAGAAATATTTATTGGTGGATCTAACTCTATCACAACTCTATATGTCAAGCAGTAGAAAATTGGCTGAACATGGTCATGAAAAACCAAGTTAATTAGAACAGGGTTTCTTGTTTTAAGCATAAACTCTTTAAATTTTCAGAATCTCCAGTAAATGTATCTTTATTTAAGAATGTTTAGATATTTATACTAGAACTTTTTTTTTTTACATATAATGCCACAGCGTCATGATTTTAAGAGATTCTGCTCTGATTTGAGACATTTTAAGACGTGCAGAAACTTTCCTGTAGAGTTTAGCTCCAGCTCTAATCAAACACACCTGAATACGCTAATCAAGGATGACCAGAAAGATACAAGCAGGCGAGTTTGACCGAGATTGGAGTCAAACTGGACGTCGACTGAGAAACCCTGAACTAAACACTGGCTTCTGAAGTGAAATATATTCGAATACGATTGGCAGTGATAAGTGAACTCGGTCTCGTACCAGCGGAGGCGTCCACATGTGAAGCGGTTTCGCTCGGGGAGGTGAACACTGGTAACCCGTGAAGAGCAGCGTTCAGAGCCTCATCTAAACTGTTCGCTAACCGCTGCTCATGCGAGTCCAACTCTGAAACACAACAGACCCAAACGTGAGCAAGAAATAGGCTACACCAAGCATGTCTGGGGGATCCAAAACCATTAAAGGAATTATAAAGAAAGCGAACAAAAGAACCAGAATTTATTGTAAATTAACCGATGGGAACTATTAGCAAATATACACACACGTTCACTCTTAATCGTATGCCACAAATGCTCTCCCAGCTAACACACAACGCACTACCCTGCTGAAAAAAACAGCATATGCTGGTTAGGTATGTTTTGACGCTGTGATGCTGGTTCATGCTGGTCCTTTGCCGGTTCATGCCGGTCCTTTTTCCGGTTCAAGCCGGTCCTTTGCCGGTTTAAGCCGGTCCTTTGCCGGTTCAAGCCGGTCCTTTGCCGGTCCATGCTGGTCCTTTGCCGGTTCATGCTGGTCCTTTGCCGGTTTAAGCCGGTTCAAGCCGGTCCATGCCGGTCCTTTGCCGGTTTAAGCCGGTTCAAGCCGGTCCTTTGCCGGTTCATTCTGGTCCTTTACCG